CAAAAGGTTTAGAACATAAATTCACAGTGACAAATATCTAACAAGATCAAAATCACAGAATTTAGTAAATGTCCAAAATCCCCTCTTGAATACCTTCAATAACACCAGCGGAGAAGCACCTCTCTTAGTGAGGCAGTCTGCAAGTTGATTTTTACTTTCAGACCATATGAACTCTTTAATCTGATTGCTCTCAATCAGTTCCCTAATACCACTAACCTCTATACGTAGTCGTTTTTCACTGACTAGTTTAGTGGATTTAACAACTTCATACAAAGACTTACAATCAGTTACACAAACAAGTGGCAACTTGGTATATCTACTATCACTACCTGTCAGTTCTAAATACAAAGTTGAAATGAACATTGCAGAATCGATGCCATCGGCCATGGCAAGTGTTTCCCCAGCTAAAGTGCTACGCACTACCCGGCGAATCTTCTTTGAATTCCAACAAATCGGTGAGAATTTTCCAGTTTCCCCCATGAGAAAAATAAAATATCCTCCTTGACTACCGCCACAGTGTTCTCCCCAGACTCTAAGCCAAGCATCGCGGCTAATTTACATAACAATACATTTTATTTGCATAATTTTGTTTGCATAATAATTAGTTTCCCCAACAAACATAACTGCAATAAAGAAGAGATACATATCTCATATATTTTATATCATTTAAATTCATTGTGTTTTATGTGTGCATCAAGTCAAATAACGTTTGAAATAGAATAGGAAAGAAATGGAAATACTTATAGCCAGTCGTGAATATATTGTTTATCCGTGGAGGTAACTGGTTCGTCATTATTTTGTGTACAAGTACAGTCAGTTTTAGTGCCAGTGTTACTGCCAGTACATACGGGGGAGGGGGGGGATTTGTTTGTTAAATTTGTAAAATCTGCAAGATTGCGGGTTATCAAAATATGAAGAAATTAATAAATCAATAATGACATTTTTTTCTACAACGGCATTTCAAAACTAAAGTCAGCGATTTTTCATTGATCTGTCTATTATTTGTGTAACGCTACGATCACGTAACATTGTCAGTTGACGGCATTGCGTTGAACGGGTATTCACCGCTGCTGTTGCGATCATCGGTTCCTGACTTTTTTGTTTAAAAATACACAAACTTAGAATGTTTGCTTAATTAAAACGATTCATTGATGATTAACTTAGAAATGACATCAAAATCGCCAACAAAATGTTGTTTTTATACATCGCGAAAAAACGTGCACTCTGCGCCGCCATCTTTGTTACCTCAATCAGAATCTCCGTTGTAACCCAGCATGCATCGGTTGTGATGTCACTACATGTGTTACGTCGCCTTAGGGTGGCGTTCCTCGGTAATGACGCACTATGAATGAGGTATTTCTAGAGGTCAGAGTTCGTTTTTTCCTCGTCCATCTCGTCTGCAGTTGAATAATTTTTACTCCGATTTATTTACAGTTTTCTTTCCAATGCGACTTAATTTTATTTGTTTTTTTAATTCTTGGTAATTAGTGTCACTGGCGATGAAATAGTAAAAACACAATTAACCGCAGTGCAGCAACTCGGGATAGACCATCCCGACACAATGGGCAAATTATTACTACCCTAGTATTTTGGGTTTGCCAGCTCCGCATCCTTGATAGACTTGGTAACTTCTTGTAGACTTCCGTTTTTATCACTGTTTTTGTAAGGCTAACTATGTACAAAGGCGGGATTACCTTTCGATCAATACATGTTATTAGTCCCCGTTCGGACGCAGTCCGAAAACGGGGACTTATGTTTTGCCCTGTGTGCGTCCGTCCGTGCGTCCGTGATCACCTGTATGTCTAACATGCATGGACCGATTAAGTTCAAACTTCACTCATACATCACACATTATATGGGACATATGCACATGCATTTTTTTCATGATCCGATTAACGATAGCCGAATAGCGGCAATTTTAAGGCCAAAAATGCATCAAAATCGCACATTTTCACCATTCCGGACCCGGATCTCAGTTATGCATGGACGGATTTTGTTCAAATTTGGTACATACATTAAACATAATAGGACCTTGATGCACGTCATTTTTGACTCCCATGTGCGAAGCACAAAATGGGAGTCTTTGCAGTTAGTGTGTCTGTATGTGTGTATGTGTGTATGTGTGTGTGTATGTGTGTCCGACTGTTCCACTGCTATCTCAAGAACCATACATCGGTTTTTGATGAAACTTGGTGCATAGATGCTCTGGGCCAATGCGCAGATTTGATTAGGTTTTGGTAAAAATCCATGCTCGTTAATTACCTAATTTGCATGATAATTAGCTAATTTTTAGCTGTTCCATGACTGTTCCACTGATATCTAAACAACCACTCATTGGATTTTGATGAAACTTGGTACATAGATGCTCTGAACTAATGCTAGGTTTTGATTAGTTTTTGGTAATAATCCGTGGATACTAATTACCTAATTTGCATAATG